ATACAGAGCGTCATTCACGCTTTAGTCTTCGTTTGTTCGACTGACAGCGAAGCAAGCAAAATTAGACAGTACTGCGATGACATTACAATTTAAATTCAACGTTTTAGCCTTTTCATATTCCTTTACATGTCACTACGTTTAAATAGGTTGACTTGGGACATTTTTTTCGTGGTTTTTGTATTAGACCCGTCGTCCATTTATTTGTAAGTCAATGGAAGGAAACTAAAAGAAAACTTAAAAAAAAACCAATAATTAAATACGATTTTACTTTATTAAGCGAAACCTATACATACTGATTTAGTATACACAAACTGTTACCGTACCATATACAATATATATTCTTTATATATCTCTTTATACTAAATAACGCGTGAGATGAACTACTCTATACTGGAATGTATGTATGTAAATAATTATTGAATAAGTATACATTTTTATTTATACTTTTTGTTCCATACACGTTGGTGTTTGGTTGCTATTTAACTATGGTTTAATGTGTTCACAGTTTCATATTGCTCTTCATGTAAAGTCTATTTACAAGATTCCAAAGACCATAGCGGTTGTGACAATCGGACGACAATTGCTACAATCAGTTCTGTTGGTGTACAGTTAGACCTGTGCTTAATGCACACCATTTGTTACGACCAATGAAAATGAGCTCTGACTGACAGTTTATTATTTCCATTTTCGGCCACGAGCGTTATGATCTTTGTTATAACTATAATAAACATTTTTAAGACTCATTAAACTTAAGTCAATAATTGTTTAATAATTAGTACTACAAATTCAACTAATTGAAGTGTTGTAGAGCTGTAATATCACCCCGTAATAACCAATTCAAATTTCGTACATTTCATCTACAATAATTATCAATAAACACAAAATTCACACCAAGAAACCACCTAAAAACATCAAATTGTATAAAATAATATTGACCAGAAACGAACATAAAGCCATCTAGCGGAAAGAAAAGCGAATTATTATATTCTAAAACGTAGATTATGGACTAAAAAGTAAAAATGGCGGCTGTTAGGGGTCAGTTAAATAAATATAGAACCCTTTTGGTCCTGGCCATTTATAGGGAAAATAGTGCTAAGAAGTCTGACATGGAATGATGCGCCGTAATTGTTAATACCCACGTAAAGGCCAACTGACGGACTGTATCGAGATTCAAATCCCAAAATCATGCTCTCTAAATTATATGCAAGTTACAATATAAACACATTCACGTTCTACACAAATAAATAAACTTTGATTAAAATACCACTAACGCCACCTAGCGAAATCCACGTCAGATTCCAAAAGAAGTGCGATGGCACCGAAGACGAATAACTACGAAATAAAGTGTCCTTAACAACGTATCACTATAAAAAGTACATAATTGTATGATAGTTTTTTTATTGATTAATTGATTCCTTGCAATTTATTGCACATTTTGCGATATAACAATTAATACTTGTTTCGCATGAAAGCCCTTTGTCTTAGCGAGATTTTTATAAACGGCGTTTTACAAAGAACAAACCAGTACCTCACTTGCATTTCCGTTCCCTCCCACCTAAAAATTGTATAGCGCCATCTATTAGACAAACTGTAGTACTAAAGGCATAAAGGACTTGCTCTACGCCACAAATTGGATATTTTTTTTCGAAAACACTTTCACTGTGCGGAACCAACGAAAGCCATCTTAGGTCGCATCGAATCATAACGCTTTCACGTCTATTGCGTTGTTTCTAATGGCATAGTAAGTCATAAATTACGACCCCGTAGTCACTCTACGTAATGGTCGCTCGGTCAATAAGGTACGTCCGACACCACACCACATCTTAACTCCACGCCCATAATAATATAAACATATCTGAATACAAAATAGTATGTCGCAGTACACAAATACAATAAAGCTGATCTGAATCGTTTCGATTGTAAACCATACTTGTAACACAGGCCAACATTCTTTTTAACGTAACATTGTTAGAGTTGTACAACATTTCAACATTCTTTCATTCGCTTTAACGAATAATGTTCATGCCCATAAAAAGTTTGGAAGTGGAATAGTACACTTGAAATCTAACGTTAAATCTAACAATCTGAAGCAAAGAGTAGCTTATACATAACGAGTATAGAGTCATCAGCTCCTAAGATCCCTGGTGACTAATGCGGGAAGTACGTTTCCCTATACAAACACATACCTCCAAGTTCATGATTTCTGGGTTCATGTTTTTATTTAAACATGTTTTGAAGGGTCATCCATGGATGAACTTATCAGTCAAATGGGCTTTTAAATATCAACTCTCGTTTGAGCTGTGATTAGAAAGCTGAGATAGTATAGCGCCAACAACTGACCTGTGTGTACGTCTCCGTATATTCCAAAAATATTCTGTATTTATTGTAATAAAGATAATATCTCTAACAATGGGGGCTGTTCCATTCGGTGGTGTAGGAAAAACAGCAAAACATCTAATTACAAAACAAACGGAATCACATTTCATCGGTAATTAAATAAAATTTTGCAATTTTCGTCCATTATAGCAAAGCTCAATTTGAACTGGTCGATTTCAAGTGAAACATTTGACGACACCCGTCAATTGTTTCGAATTCGGATTGGCCAATCGGAGCGCAGTTGTCACCGCAATAATTTGGCAGAATAGTTTTCAAACAAATTAAACGACATTTCGTCTCTATTTCTCGTTATATACTCGATGTTTGAAGTTAATGCACTGCCTTAACGAAATATATTTCGGGTTTTGAAAAATTATCTAAAAATTGTATAGCAAAAAGTGATGTCAGCGCCATCTATTTATTAACGACGTCTATCTTCGTGGACGTACTAAGCAAAATATACGTAGTGATTAGACCCTGATCTGAAGCTACATGCAAGTCACATTGGAATTGTAGAAAGTTCCGTCAGACCCTCTTGGTATAGCAAATATTCTATTAACTTATAGTCGACACTGGACAACGTATATTTTCTGAAGCGCAAGCTATCTTGCACTTCGTTTGTTTTGCATAAATTTTTAACAACTTGTATCTTTATGATTCGACCTCGTCCACTTTCCAAGACAAATAACGGAAGTACACTTCTGCGTATGCGTGTCTACGTAGACCTAAACGCATAAGGTTTAATTTAGCATATATAGTGTCTACAAATGAACGAGCACAACCTAATTGCGTTCAAAAACTGTTCGCGCATTCAAGTAGCTTTCATCTAGATGAGTCATTACCGATTCGCTACAAAGTGAATGAAATTTTTCGTGTAAAACCCCACTTCCAATCTTCATGAGAGCTCCAAAGGATGCATTATGGCACCAAAACAATAATGTTCACACAACTACGTACCCTAACTTGCTAATACTGCAACTGCTTTAAAGCTGTCATGGACAAACAAACCGAATAATGTAACACTATATCACAAATCTATATGGGTTTACCAGTTAACAGAGACGGTCAAGGCTACTGCAACAGCAATTTTAATGACGCATAACATCTATCAAAGGTCAACTTTTGATCAAAATAAAAAGCGACCACACCTTATCTGCACATAAGGTACACCACACACATTAATGATTATAACAAACATTAAAAACTCATCACACGATTTTGTACATCTTTGTATCACACAGGCCTGTTCAAACATGCTAATATTAAAATTTTCACATTTATTTCCTTTAGATATGTAATGAGCTTATTTTAATTTAATATTTCAACTAGCACGCAACGCATTTAAACATTTGATTAATTGAAACTTAGCTAAATACTGATGCTCCATATATTTCAAAAGTAGAGTATTTGGCAACGACAGAAATTCAATAGCGGTCATTTTTTTTTTTGGAATTGGAGGTAACTGACAACTATTAATATCACTTTCAAATACACTGTTGCCATGGGTATAGTGATGTGTTTGATTCCGTTCTCAATTAACTCGCTGAAACAAATTCAATCAAAAAGGACCGTTAAATATTTTACACTATCAATCTGTTAGTCTCCACATATTTTTTTTTACAAAGTTCTTAATTTCATCCAAAGATATAATTTGTTTTCATGATCTATTGAGTGAGCCAGTAAAGTCGATCCTTCAAGACACCTCTATTTTTATTTCATCCTGTCAGTTTACTATCTAACAGCTGATTGTTGTACCTAAGAGCGAAGATATTCATATTATCTTCCATTTAAAGGTATTTAATGTTTGATAACGATTTCTTGAATGGACTATGTATTTGTTGCCAAATTAATCAACACACAGTAGTTCTGAATCATATTGTTGCTAATACTACTTTTAAGTTGGTAGAACTGATTGTCAAACTATTTTCGAAGCCAGTAATGCCAACCTAATTAAAACTCCTCCATTATTATAAACGATTACATTAAAAAAGAATACATGAAAACTTGTTCTATGAAAAAAGCAAATTGATTAACTTAAGTTATTTACTAAACGGTTACCACTAGTTTCACATTTCTCGGGTGAATAAACATTTACAGTGTGGTAAGAAATCTGTAATTAGTGATTAGCCATAGTTTTGTCACTATTATATTGGTCCTATAGTTATTTCGCGTTAACAATGCCTTAGCAAATCAAAACTAACTAAATCAATCGTGAGTTTAACATCACGTGAAACGAAGTAAAGTCGGTCATTTTTGAAGACTGAGTAAAATGACATTCGTAGCATTTCTGGTAACCAGAAATTTTAAATAGTTATGTAGTTATTGTCGATAGTTTTATCGATAGATTGTGAAGGAAGATAATTTTTTCCAAAAATGACTGAATAGCAAATGTTACGCCGTTCTAATGATTACTAATTGCGTTATTATTATTACCTTCTTTATTCTTATTTTGACAGTTGACGTACTAGTGTCGAGGTGAATTTTTATTTACATACAATTTAACAATAATAGCCGAATTTGATTATCTATATTGAATTAACATATAAATTTTTAAAATATGTCTCCTCTTTGTATTTTTACAAACATAGTTCTAAATACTGTGTATGTATGTATGAACTCACAAAAATTGACAATTCAGATGAACTTGTGCTCTGTAATTGGATGAATAATGGGTCGAGAATAATTCAAATGAAACAAGTTCAGCTATTCATTCTATAAGCGTGGCCAATATTCAGTCGACAGTCGATAGAATTTTTATCGATTGCAATCACTAGCTGCTCGCAAGCGGGCCACACTTTTGCGCATTGAATTGTCATTTTACTCCGTCTTCAAAAAAGACAGACTACAGAAAGTTTAAACTGTGCCATCTCAAATGGCTATTAATCTGTAGTATGACAATGTACACCTCTTACTTTTTGGATGTCAAGGTTACAGTTAAGATGGATTGCAAATTAAACTATTTTTTCGAAACAAGCGTTTCGAACTCTTTAATTAATAATTTTAATTTAGTAAAACAAAATATATTTGAATTTGAGTTTGAATTTTTGTTACTTTAACGTATAAGTTAAAGTAACAAAAATTCAAAAGTATGTAGCTTGAATTGAAATGTTCTTTGGTAAATCTAAAAAAATAAGGAATTACAATTTTTGTAACTATATATAGTTCAGAATAGACTGGTTCGCATTAATATTAGGCAAACTAGTTAATGACTTTATCATCTCAGTCAGCCGTGACCATGGGACCTGTAAAGAGTCCGAAACGTTGGCTTGTTTGAAAAAACAAATATACGCAATTCAGATCCGAAAACACAGTTTCATTTCCAATGTGGATATGATGGATTTTAAATTAACTGGACAAAACTAACAGCCACTAATGTTACTTTGTAAAAATAAGTTGACATGTGTTCAGTAGTCAAAAACCGTAATAAAACAGTCCAAAATTAAAGTTGTAAGTGATGAAAAACAACAAGACTATTTTTGTTTCATAAAAATTTGGCAACACAATTGACTTGAGTTCTGTTCAGCTAATCAAAAATCCGACTTTATGTAGGGTTATTTTTAATTAAACTGAAACTTGTTAATACGGCATACTCGTGACTAAAACAAGCCTCGTGTTTGCACACAAAAAATTTTGAGCCTCCCTTACAAATTTATTGTATACCTTAACAAAGAAAGCCAACCGTCGAAGGCTTCTTTATTAGAATATTCTGGTTAGTCGGTCAAACATGCAGGCGTCAAAAAAGGTTATTGTTCAAATTGACACGTTGAATAGCATATTTTGTGTAAAGGCTTGGACGGAGTAGCAATGGCTTGATCCTAGAGCAGTTTGCTCGCCTGACTACCGCGTCTACGTTCAGCTGCAAGCTTGAAATTGCCACTAGTACGACGTAAATTAATTTTATGTAGATTTGACTCATGCTTTTTTTCTATTTCTATATTATTTTAACTGTATTTAAAGGACTGAAATCTACAAATTATTATTAAAATGTGTATATTTTTAATGTTGGTTGTAAGGGATGCAGAAAAATTTGCTGTGTGAAACTTTCAAAGTTACAGAAAATGGATCAGAATGCCACGGTAAGCGGTTTTGAGTAAGAGAAATTGAACCCTATTTCTTGTTAAATACTTCAAATCCAGCACATGTAAAGACCTGCACATTCAGCTCTCGAGTTATGGCCAACTTTTGACTAATCTTTAACAATAATGACATCTAATGTTATTCTAGCTAGAAAGAAGCCTAATCAACTTTCCTAGGTTTTTCTAAATGATTTACCTAATTATTTTTTTGAGAGCACTTTTTAGAGAAATTTTAACAATATTATAAAGAGAAAATATTTAGAAATTAATATTCCCGGTTTCAATTATAAAATTTTAAATTAAAAATAGCAAAGGCGGTTCTTAAATACACTTAATAACGTAATAATATTGACATTATGACTATTTTAAATTATTTTAATAATATAATGTTATATTAAAAGTGTGATGCTAAGTTTAACTATAATATTTTTCTATAAAAAGAATAATTAGTTCGTTAATTTATTTTACTATTTTTCAAACAAGCACCCAGGTATAGTTAGCAGCAATAAGTAATATTGATATTACTGTCACAAGAATTTAAAGTAAAGTTTATTACACTCCGTTGAGTGCGAACAAAGCGATCGGGTAATAATTATAACGAAACCTTTACTTGTAATTACAATTTTGCTGCTAACAGTACCATATTAACTTGTATTTAAAAAAAACAAATCGTACAATAGAGCTACACTGTAGTCATATAAAAGAGCCTTACGTGTAAGATTGTGTAAATAAATTCATGCAACTTTTAGAGTTATAATCATAAGAATAACAAGGTAAGAGCAATTGTCGTAATTAAGTACATTATCGTAATAAATTATTCAACGAAAACTTACGTCCGGTGCTGATGCTAGCCTAGCAAAAACAATTTACTTTTAAGACTAAACGCTTATTATTTCATACCGTTAAATAATGTGCTAAGATGTCATACATCTTATATTCCACAGATTGTCCTAATAACGTTTCCTTTGGACGGTTAAATGACTGCTCTCAACTACGTAATTTAATAAAGCGTCAATGGATGGCGTTTGAAAATATTCCGCGGTTTTTGTATGTTTAATCGCTCAATTCCAAATTTAGTTGGCACCATCCATTGAGCTTGGCGCGAACGAACATTAAGAAAACAACCAAACAAAACGCAACGCCTGGTGTCAACTGGAGACTTCGTTGTACTATGATTACCAGTACAACGGAATTCACTCTGGTGCACTTCCCAGCACACCCTAACCAATTCAGAAAAGTTTATTTCCCAATTTGAACCTATCGGGAATCGAACCCCGGGGTCTCCTCATCTAGCGCCTACAGTATAAACCGTTAGGCCACCGAGGTCCTCACGTCGTCTTTTATTATAAAGACAGCTGTTCAAGTAAGATCTGAATATAGGTATTGCACTTGAAATGGATTTATTAACACAGGCATTGATTCATCATGTGCGGTTAGCAACTTTCACGATGATGACAGGTGATGAAAAAATAGTGTGTGCCCTTGTTGTCGCAGTAGCTTTTACTTAATGCGGAGACTATATATAGCCTCACTTTAGACTATGCACTGTTATATGTATGTATATTAAAATAAAACAATATTCTTTTGTAGTCGTCTGTAGACTTAAATTGTATACTAGACTGGTATCAGCACCAAACGTTCTTTAACTTCATGAAATCGATAATATTCAGGATAAATTGGAAACTTCATTAACATTAGTATAATATTTATTGATAATGATAGGAAACTAAAAGCGCTGCCGTTTTACACGTACTCATGTTTATGGCAACACTGGTTTCGTTGACATTGACATTGAGATCAAAATTTGACAAAAAAAGTTGTTTTTGTTTCACGCGGTATTAATACTTAATATGTAAAACCTATATAAGCCGCATTATTTTACAAAAAATTTGTACTTGCCTTTGTCAACTACATTTTTCTTATCGTATAGCAAAAATAATATTTGATTTTGGTGCATCAGTTGATTTTTTCACATTTCAAGATTGTAATTAACTCTGTACCCAAATTAATGGGGATTCTGGTAATAATTTAATATCATAAGTAACTAGTAAATGTTACTATGACATAAAATAATATATCAACGTATGTACAGTTTAAATATAACGGCTCTGGAGTATGCGTTTTAAGCCAATGGGGTTCGGTGTTACCATTAGAATAATGTAAAACCGCAGCGCATGGCAATAATACCTGGTGTCGCTTATTTCTATTAACCGGGAGGATCTATTCGCCGGTATCTACCCAGTTCTTCTCTTCGGCTATTCTGTCCAAGCAGTTGCACAGGAACTGATACTGCAAAAAGAATAAACGGTATCACGTGATGGTTTTGATTAAATATTGGTCAATTTATTATTATGGTGGGGTGGTTGCATTTATGAAAATTAATTTGACGTAACTTTTTATTTCTAATATTAAAGGGGATTAGTTTATTTGATAGATGTAATCTTCAAGGAAGATTGAGCTGTAGTTTGTTTCTCAAAAAAAATATTATAGTTATTATTACTAGTAAATTTAAAGTAGGGTTTAAAAAAAATCTTCAGTAATGAATATGACATGTATATGAACATGTTATTGTGGTAGGAAATTTCGTCCTAAATTTTGTTAGAAATGAATTTAAAAGAAGTTGAACAGTTTAGTAGCAGGAGTCTCGAAGAAGTACTGTCACCTTGTTTATTTTTGTCTGTTGGAAGGCGAGGGCGTCGGTGAAATGACAGGTACATTTGTTTCGGAATAAGTAACGACGGCGAGATCGAACGCGACCCGAGAACGGCGAGGAAGGAGGCACTCACGTAGGGCGTGAAGAGCGTGAGGGCGCGCGGCGGCTGGTCGCGGCGGCCGTAGGCCACGCGCAGCGCGGCGGCGTCGTCGTCGGCGCGCCACTCGCGCAGCAGCGCCCAGGGCACGTCCAGTGCGTCGGGGGCGGGGGCGGGCGCGGGCGCGGCCAGGCGCAGCCCGCCGAAGCCCACGGCGGCCGTCAGCGGCCGCTCGGCGCGCGCCGCGGGCACGGCCACGTCGCCGTAGCCGGGCAGCGCGCGCGCCAGCGCCAGGTAGTCGTGCGCGCGCCGCACCTCCTGCAGCGCCTTCAGCTGGTACAGGCGCGCGCCCGCCGCGCACACGCCGCGGTTCACGTCCTCCACGGCCTGCACACAGCGCGGTCACTGCCGGCCCCCGCCCCGCTCGCCACGCGGCACGCTCGGGGACTTCCGTTCGACACGCGAGCCGAGACAATTGTCCCTTTTTGTTCGTTGTACATACACACGACCCGCCAACACTTACTGACGATACGTCTTTGTCATTTTAAAGCTAATAGAAAACGCAACTCGACGACGCAAATGACGCTCTTTACGATTAACTCGAACCTGATTCACAACTCGCATTTCAATTAAAAAAAACTAAATGTACATTTATATTACAAAACCAGATTGCAATATAGTCGTTAATGATAACAGATTACACCTCCTACATAACACTGCGTCGTTAGGGACTACCAAAACCCAGTACGACGTGTACCTTCTAATATAGTAACAACTTACTCAACTATTCGACTCAACGTTCCAAATTTAACCTACCATTTTTCCAAAAATGGAGTCTTCAAATTAACTAACTATTAAAGTCTAAAAAAACTTTCGACAATGTTCTTCACCTGCCAAAAAATAAAAGCAGCGGCTGTTGGGTCCTCGTTGACGACCTGCAGCTCCGTTCTGGGGTTGAACAACCATTTGCGTATTGACAAACAGCTACTGGAGGCAGTCGAGTAGTTCTGGATGTACAAAGAGTGGGGGCATTCGTTGGGTTGAAGTTTGCGCTCTGAAAATTAACAAAAATATATATGTAATATCTTACAACATACCTGTAAATAAGTAATACAAAAATTCAATATAATACAAAAGGCATGATTTCATACATCTTAAAAATACAAAAATTTGTTGCTATTCCTATTATTATATGACAAAACACTAAATAGTTTCAATAAACAATATAACCACTCATTAAATGAAATTATTTACTAAATAATCAAGTGCCTATATTAAATTGCCATTGTCATTTTTACAATCCCTCACAAAACAATTGTAACACACAAAATATTATCAACGAGCTACAAACACCAATATTATTAAAATAAAAGGTAAACTTCTTTTTTCTTAACATTTCCAAGTATTAATATCAAATTCCTAGACAACAAGTACATAAAGCGAGTAATGTCATACACAAACAGAAACGAATTTACGAATTTGTATTGATATAAAAAAGTAACAAATATCGTATCGTAATACTCACCGAAATTATATTCGACAATTTCAAATAAATAGAAATACTTTTGAACGGACTTCGACAAGCCAATCTTTTCACATACTGCTCTATACACATCATCAGCGTTAGTACTTTTGAGTACTGATACTGTCACCACTTCTTTGTCTGGTAGGAGAACTTTCAGGTCTACTGGGGACGGGTTGGAGGAGTCGTCAGAGTCCGTTAGGAATTCTTGGACAGCGTCTGACTCTGCTATCACGCGGACTGCGCACACCTGAAAGCGATAGAAATATATCTATATAAAAACGGCTTATGAAGTGCATTGACTTACAAATAAATGGACGACGGGTCTAATACAAAAACCACGAAAAAAATGTCCCAAGTCAACCTATTCGAAATTTAAATTGTAATGTCATCGCAGTATCGCGCTGTCAGTAGAACAAATGAAGACTAAAGCGGAGTGTCGCGCTCTGTATACGATTTTAGCTACTTACAAGTGCGGACACTTTTTAGCGCGGACCCGACGTCCATTTGTAAGTCAATGATGAAGTGTAATCATATATTGGTATAAATATTATAAATTTGACGACCTCGGCAGCCCAACGGTCTGCAGTGTGGATGCTGGCTGAAAAGGTCTAATAAGAGATGGAACCAATTTAAGAAATGGCCTTTTCTAAATTGGTTTTAGTTTCTGGATAGTTATGTTGCTTTGGTACTCATAGTAAAGGGAATTTCCTAGTTAGAGACTAGGCAATTCATTCATCTAGCGACCGTGTAAATTACTGTATAATTTTGTACGGGAAATTATACAGCACCCCTAGCGGTCATAAGAAACAACATTTTGTATAAAAACATTTTACGCGGTCGCTAGCGATAACTGTCCCTGTAATCTCAAGGTAGAGGTCCTGATCTACCAATCACGCGATCAATACGATACTCCCCCGCCGTCGCTACCCGCACCTCACCATTAAAGAGACCTAAAATGCATTTCTGCGCATTCAAGGTCATTAATCAAGATGTTTGCCGGTATCTGTATATGAAGAATAAAAGAAAAACACTCCTTAATGCATGAAACTGTTTTTTTGCGAGCTGCATTTTTGGCATGGTCTGGTGGAACTAATTTATAGTGAATGTTTTTGAGATCGCTTTTGTGTTTATTGCTATTGCTTCTGAGTCCACATTGAAAATGATACCCATAGGAAACATGTTATTAGTTTACCTTCTCTAAATACTGTTCAAGACCTCTTCTTCTGGCATCTAAATGTTGTTCGCTCAGCGTAAATGGCCATTTCCCAGGTAGTTTTGGAAAGTTGAAACCTGAAACAATCACTTCTATAAATAACAACATAAACGTGGGGTAGGTAGATCTAGATATACGTAAGTCGGTCAGGTTTGAGATGTCCTTAAAAAGTCAATTTAAATTACCACCACATATAAACGAAACTATGATAGAAAATGTGCATAAAAAAATTCCTAGTATCTTTTCCCTTTTATGTTTGTATTTGGAATGGTTGGATTGGACAGTCTATTACCGAGGCGTACCTAAACGAATGGAGGTGTATGATCTGTGCCTACCCTGGTGGGAGACAGGCGTGTTGATAAGCATGTAAATAAACCAATGATGTTTTAATTGACCGATATCTGCGCGGTAGTGGTGCTGCACTGCAGAGGCGCGTGCGCATGTTATTTAACTACGTTATGACTAGCGTGTATGTGTTTTATCTTTCGCTGTAAATTTATATTGTAAACAAAAAAATCACTGTAAAAACGATATATGAAGAGACTAAAACCGGTGTAGGGGGTGAAAGTATACCAAAGTCTAAACTCGTTAAGGACTGACAGCTAATTAAGCCAAGAACAACGGGTGTAATCTTTGTCACATAGCAAGAGTATGACGACTTTTTGATTTAAAGTTAAAAGAAATGAAAAAAAAATCGATTAAATATCTTCTACGAAATCTGAACGATTACTCTCAAAACAAAAGAAAATGACCCGTATACAAAGCATGTATTATGCTCTAGTACAGACGCAAGCAACACAATTTGAAAAGATAGCCGATTCAATTTATCGATTCTATGGCGTAAATCTCTATGGATACATTCAATTTTACGCATCAAGTAGCTGGTTTAATATATTTTTATCCTTATCACTTAATTTTCACATAGTTTGTTATGAGTCTAAAATTTACTATTTGTTTTTGAAACACGATTTAGAAATTAGTTAAAAATAGTATGTGAAATGAATTAAAATTAGATATATTTTTTTTTTACTTTTATACAAGCACTACGTATTGTACTGTTTCCTATAATTAGTGCCAAAGTAATAAAAGCTATGAATACTAGATCCACAGTTGGTAAACCGTTGACATTGAGCTTAGTAGGTAAAACAGTAAGCAATAACATGTCAGTCGATAAAACAGGAAATCCATATCGTCAGTGAAAACATAAACTGTCGGTAAAACAGCCCTCACCTATGAACTCTTTTCTCAACTGTTGATGCAGCTGCGCGAACTCCCTATATCTTCTACTACACAAATGTCTGCCAGCCATGTGTACATTGAACGCTACGTATGATCTGCCGGTGTTTCGTTCCATAACCATGCGGTAATCTGGTATTGACACAGGCAGTGACCGTTTGTCGGTGTAATCGTATCGCTGGTAAACTGTTGCACGAGAATTTGCCGCTCCGCCTATGACGCCTACAGGAGCTGAGCCGTCGTCGCATGGTTCTAAGCGTTCTGCTTCCTGAAAAAAAACCGATAAGACAGTGATGATCCGGGATAGTACTGCCAATTTAGCTATTTCTGCCGCCAAGCAGTAATGGCAGCAGTAGTGTGTTCCGGTTTTGAAGGGTAAATGTGCTGACGAAATTACAGGCAAATGGGGCTTGTCAACTTATGCCTCAGGGTGACAGACGCAGTGGCAGTGCCTGTCAGATTTTTGCGATTTCAAGTTCTGAGTGGCTCTACAACTGTTATGGATAGACGTGTAGCTTGCCATCAGGCGTACGACTTGTTCGCCCTGTCACTTATTATTATAAAAAAATGTTCCAATGCTAGGCGCGGGTCTCCTTTCATCACAACGTTTTGTTGGGTAGTTCATTGTAGTTGGTAATGTCTTTGTAATTTTCTAATTCTGCAATATTGTCCATTATATTGAACACTATTTTTGATAAAGGAATTTCGAAGATTCTGAAAGTACTACAAAAACTTTTGAAACTAACCTCCTACGAGCAAAAATTTATCTAATGCCATTATTAAGCAATAACTACTTTAGAGGAATCCCTTGCCCAACAGTGTGACGCGCAAGAATTAACACAAACATGCTATAAAAAAATTAAGACAAGACTTCAACGAATTTTTGCAATAATTAGTATTACATAAAATCTAAATTAATTTAAGCATTTATGAAATATTGACAATTTAATCATGTGACGTCGAAGTTTTGCCTGCCTAACTTTATTTTCTGGTCAATTATGTTGTACCTAACTTACTATTGTTACCTCGACTATCATATTTCTTGCAATTTTATAAACTACCACATGTATTTAGAAATACTCACTTTCGGGGTTACTGAGATGACGGTAAGTGTGAGACAATCTCCTCCGGATTTTATGAGATCTACAACTTGTTTGTGTGTAGCGCCTTCGACGTTCACGCCATTGCTGTAAATAAAGAAGATTTTGTTTACATTATTATCAACGTCAATTAAAAGAAAATTACGATTAATAAGGGCCTATTACTGAGTTGCACAGGACTACAAACAGGGAGTAGTGTGTCCTTACATTAAAAATGACCAAACCATACACCAGAGTACGAACGATAATTAAAAATACAATTAAGTTTACAAAATACGCAAAAACAAAATTAGGCAGAGTGTCGACTTCCTACCGAAGTATTTTGGTCTTTTTTTCTTAGTTTTCTTTTTTCACAGTCTTGTACATTCGAGCGCGCTAAAATTTTACAATACAATATTTTTCTTATAGATTTAACATGACCTTTGACCTCGGTTATCTCGTCACATATCTAAATTAAAAATTTGGGATTCGTCATTACCTGTAGAATTTTGTTTTTTATGGTCAAGGAACAGCTGATGGCAATTGATATGAATACCAAAAAAAAGACACAAATTATAAGAAATTTTCGAATATATATTTAATATAATATATTTCGTCAGAAAGTTGGTAACGATGAAACAATGCCCCTCGTACAAGAGGCCGGACATTCCATATTTTAAATGAGGCATATTTAAAGCAACCCCCTATCACGCAACCTCTCAGCTATATAAATAAATAAATAAATAAATAAACTTTTAAAATAGCGTAAATTAGAAGAGCTATATAATTGTGCTACTTTACTTTAGAGCATATCGAGAGCGTCATCTGTACCGCGTCGCGCAAGCTTGGCATCCTGAACAAGGTGCACCGATTTTTTACTCCAGAGCTGCAATACCTGTTGTATAAAGCTCAGGTCCGAAGCAGCATGGAGTACTGTTCGCACCTTTGGACGGCTCTGCCAAGTACTTGCTCCACGCCCTAGATGGACTGCAGCGCTACGCCTTCCGTGTTGTCAACGATCCTCATGTAACTGAGCATGCGGAGTCGTTACAGCTTCGCAGAGATATAGCGTCTCTTAGCGTATTCTATCGCCTGTACCACGGTGAGTGCTCTGAAGAGTTGTTCAACCTTATCCCTTCCCGTCCATCAGCGGACCACCCGTGCCGGACTGCGTTGGCCACAGTTGGACGGTCAGTTCAATACCGTCCCGCACTAAAAAGTTTGGCAATTCGTTTTTATGCCGAACCATCAAATTGTGGAACCAACTCCCGGCGCATGTACTCCCTCCCTACTATAACATCGGGTCCTTCAAACGTAGTGTGAAGAAGCATTTGGCCAGACCGGCAAAATGATAGTGACGGAGTGAAGATATTTGTGTTTTCCATTCGTTACTCTCATCTCTGGACTGTATTCGCACTTTCCATCAGGCGCGGTGCAGTCATTTTGCCGAGTCACAATAAAAAAAAAAAGATCCCATTGCCTATAATAGGCCTGCACTAACAATAGGCTGTAATAAAGTCTAAATTCTTCTGTTATTTTCTTAGTAATGACGAAAGAGATAGATGTACTTATCTCAAGTTTACTTTTGGTTCAAAGTAATTTTTATTTATTCTAGAATAAGTAGCTAAGGAATGTCTTTCACAGCGAGAAATTATTTTTGTTTTGTTTTTCCAACTGGCAATAATAATTGATGCCAGTTGATGCAAATACTTTAACCTCACAATTAGTACAGGGCAAGCAAAACACGATTTATAAGTATGGGTACGAAACGCTGACTCCTGAACTAGACAGGGCCTGTTTTGTAAAACAAAATATAAACTACAAAAATGTGAGTATATACATATAATTAAAAGTAAATTATTAAAATAGATTGGTATACAATATTGTAATTGTAAAAGAACTAAAATAACAAAAATACCGACATCAAAAGTTTGTGGGATTACATCTATGTGCCAAGTTTTATTGAAAACGGTAACCGAAAATGATAATCATTTAGTGAATAACCACGAAAGTCTTAAAATCTATATGGTAACCGAAAAGTGCGCGAAACCGGATTCATCCCCTAGTTTGGCACCCTTAGAGGTGGAATATTTTCTTTAAATTCAAATGGGACCAATACTGAGGTACCCTCTTTCCAACAAAAAAGAATGTCTGTCCTAAACGTGAATGAAAACGTGATTCTCTATTACATTGGACAAACAAAACGAAGTATTTGTACCCGCGTCAAAGAACATATAGCTGATGTCAAACACCGTCGCGTAAACAAGTCTGCAGTCTGCGAGCATGTCATGGATAAACCTACACATTCAATAAAGTTTGACAAACCCCAGGTCCTTGCAAAAGAAGTCCTATCTACCCAGGATGTTGCGATAGGCCATTGAAATTAAAAAACATCCTAATTTCAACAGGGAAGATGGTTTCTCCGTACCACCAATTTGGGATCCAGTATTTCCTCTACCTAATTAAAAATCCCAAACAGACATAAGACTGCAGTACTAATTAATATGTTTTAATTTATTCTAATTTCTATTAATAATATTAATATTAATAATAATTAATAATATATTGAACTTAATAAAAATTCATTCAATAAAATAATTTTTATAACTTAATGTAGCGTAAATTGGAATGTTTCTTTGTAAAATTAAAAATAAGGTATTTGATTAATAACTGTTGTAACTACAGTGAAAAAATAGGGTGGTTTGCATTAATATTAGACATAACTGGCTGAAGACTGTACCACCTCAGTCAACCGTGACCATGGGACCTGTAAAGGGCCCGAAACGTCGGTTTGATTGAAAAAACAAATATACGCGATTTAAATCCGGAAAAATAGTTTCATTTCCTATACGTAGAGCATTTAACTTTACCTTTTTTTATCTTATTTAGTTACGCATGCCGCTCGGCTCGGGGGAGCGTCGAGTTATATGCGATACCCGGGCGGTAGACCCGTATATACCCACTAAAACCTAGTATTTAATTCAACCGCCATAGCGAGACGCCCTAGGATCCACTTGCACATACTACAGGGACGTCCCGGCAGATGGCCAGCAGGGAGCGGGCCCAGTTCTTTGGAGGGTGCCCGGGCACCCTGTGACTTGGTGGAAGCGGTCCCCCGACCCCAGTCTACGGAGGGGGAAGAAGGTGGGCGCACTGCCTCCTTTGTCTCCCCAGCCTACGTCAATCTTAACTCGTAAAGTCAACCCGTCTACATCCATTAATAATGGCGTCATCTAGTCAATTCCCTAACAAGTTTTGTATACGAATTAGAAAACAAAGGATTATACACGCTAATGTTAAACATTTACGTCAGTATTTAAACGACGTCTAGTACATTTGTCGTACACGGCAGTTGCATGAATATTTCAACGACCCTTGCTTTGATTTCAGGTGGAACTAATTTTAGAACACGGTGTCTTAAGATAAACATTTAAAAACTCCATGTCTTCAGAATAATCCTCACGATGTTCTGAGTAACTGAAATTTGTACGGGAGTTGGAATTCTTTTTTATGAAGGGCACACGATTACAGTGTAATGTGAAAAGTGGCGGCATTAGTGGCGACAGTAAAACTAGGTTTTAATAAGGCCTGTTTACATTGGCAGTGCACGGAGCAAAGTGGGGCATTAGTTAGTCTAGAAAGTGTAGTGTAGCTAGAGAAATTATGAGTACATTGCGCAGGTAATTACAGGGAATTTATGGTTTGGTACACGTATTATTCAATTGTGAAAAACACAACTTATGGAGATAAGTTACAATTTCTAGAAGTTTAGCAACAGAATTCGAAAATGTTTTGATGTTTCGCTCTCTTCCTATAACTAAACTATAATGAAAGGTTATTAACCAAAAAACGACTGCACCTATGTGACGAACAATTCTGGAGGAAGCATGAGGACATACTCGCCACTCGTCGAAAAAAAAATTATGTAAATATGTTCTATCTTTGTATTAATATCATAATAGTCAGTTAACAAAAAAATATCTCAATAATACGTACTAGTAGTTGCAGGTACATTTTGCTGCTAACAAATCTAATGTGATAACAGGATTGTTTTAACTACCAAAGTGAGTTCTAGTCTAAACAAAGCAAAATGTTTATAAAAAGCAAAGCATATCACAACTCGTGCGCCGCCGACGAACAGTAAATAAGTTCGACTTTAAAATATCGCATTAGGTCAAGTAAACTGGATTTAGCAACACGGCCGTTTAAATATATCATCATTACTGTTAACCTATTCATTATATGTCTCACTGCCGTGTGCTGGTCTCTTCTAGGTACATGGTAAAGGGCCGGCACGCACTCACGCAGGCCCCAGTCAAATTCAAATAATCATTAATTATTCCATAGGTAAAATTTTTACACTAGAAACTCTACGGATTGCTCTTTTCAAATCAACTTAAATGCTATAGAATACACTTTGAATCATAACTGTGTGGAATCTAGACTCATGACGTCTTTCCATATATGTTTATCTAACACGTAGTCCACAATTTTGCAATATGACTGTTCAATTAAAATACTTTTAATGCCAATGCATTATATATTACATTACACATTATAATATATTAAGTCACCGTTTTAGCGAGATATATTCAAATTAAAGTAAATATTCACAAATGTACGTAAGTTAGAAATTAATCATAGTTACATACAGCTTTCATATACCTCTATACTATAATTAAATATATTAGACTACATCACATACGTGTCTCTGATCCCAAAGTAAGTAGTGTCATGGAAATCGGAAACGACGTTACCACAAAGACCGAGATAATATAGAAAAATTTGTTGTAAAAAAAATACATTGACCCGGCCAGGACATCAGAGATGGCGACACCATGAAAACCGGTGTGAAAGTCACTCGACCACGGAGGTAGTCGAAGAGAGTGGTTTGCATGCAGCTGGATCGAAGGAAGTGTTCGATCTTTGTATTAATAAATTATAACAAACTAGTGGAGTAATGCCACAAACATCGAGACATGTTATACCTTCCTCAAGTTATAGTTGAGGAGCGCGATGACTCTACACGCGTGAACGGGTGCCGCTTTCGGGGGGCTGGTCCGACCCGGAATATTTTTATTTACTCTATATATTACACCTAATTATGT